TTGTTGTTTTAAGCCCCTACTTTGGTGTGATCTGTTGCACAGCAGATAATAACACTGTCTAACCACACAGTGGGGTCGAACCACACAGACGTGAGGCCCTCTAAGCTGGCATATTAACGAACGATGCCCTCGTAATGGTTGGGGACTCTGGCCCCAGGCTCCAAGTCTTTCTCTAGACCATAATACTTGCCATGACAACAACATATAAATTTTCTTGAGTATCACATTCCTTGAGTATAACCCCCCCATCATTTAAAGACCACCCCTGCCCCGGGCTTGCCTAACCTTTCCTTGTCTCACCCGCTACCGTGTGTCTTTTCTGTATCATTGCCTCCTTTCGTGATCTTTTTAAAAATGGCTAATTTCTCTGACAGGTTTCATTGGGATCAGAGTGAGAACTTTCATTCACTAGTAACTGGTGGCTTGCGGCCCCCTCTCTTTCTATCCCTCAGGTTTCCTGTAGGAGCTGGGCTCTGAGACCATTTGCCCAATGGTAAAATGAAGACAGAGATATCCTAGGGGTCCAGGTATCACATGTACCACCTGACCCTGGGCACTCCTCCCCTCCCAGGCTACAGCCGGGGGTGTATACTGATCCAAGGAGAGATGGCTCGTTCCAGGCTGGCCTGGTAAAGCCTCTGGGCTCTGGCACAAACACTGCCCCATCTAGATCAAGCTGGACAAGGTACAATCGTACTTACCCTTGGGAATTTTAATTCAGAAATAGTGCAGAGGAGGGGCACCTGGGTGGCTCAGTCAGTTAAGTGTCTGACTTTGGCTCGGGTCATATTCTTGCAGTTCATGGGTTCGAGCCCTGTGTTGGGCTCTGTGCTGACAGCTCAGAGCCTAGAACCTGCTTTAGATTCTGTGTCTCCCTCTCTCCCTGTGTCTCCCCTATTCATGTGCTGTCTCACTCTCGCTCTCTCTCTCTCTCAAAAATAAACATTAAAAAAATATATGGTAGGGTAGCATTTGAGACTCATTAAAGTAGTGTGCAAATCTGAGGTAGTGTTATATACACAGTATTATCTAAGCCTCACTTTAGGAACCACATTTGAACTAATGGAAATATTCGAAAATAGGAGAATGGAGTTTCCTGGAATCCCGGCCCACACTTCGTGAAGCCCAACTATGCACAGATGTCTCTTCTTGGTTTCTTGTCAGCTCTGCCTCTGTGTCCACCTCTCTTATTTAAAAAGTCACCACCGCCCCCACCCCGCTCCACACAGCTCATTAAGGAGGTTGAGCTGGCATGAGGAGTTTCTGCCCTTGTGACCTGACAGTAACGAAAGAGCCTAGTCCTGTGCCTGCCCAAAGCAGGTGCTCAACAAACAGTAGCTGCCACCATCCTCATCATCAGTACGTTTATTGCAATTATTGATTCTTTGTGGTAACCCTGGCTTAGACTTCTCTGCACCCCTGAGCCCTGCAGTGTGGTAGTATAATGGTCAGTAGGCTCTGGAGTTACCAGGCCTGGATTAAACCCCTGACAGCTTGGGGTTTGTGGCTTTGGGCACCTGGGCAGGTTACCTACATCCTCTGAGCCCTGTCCCCTTATCTGCCAGATGAGGATAATAAAGTATGTTTTCACGGCCTCTTGGGCTCAATTAAGACTGCAAAATGCCCAACCCAGGGCTTGACCCCACGTAAGCAAACAGTAAACTAGCTGCTGCTGCCGCTGACTGTTACTGTCTAGGCTTGTGCTTTAAACACAGGAAATACCTGTTGGCTCACTGAAGTCACCACTCAGAGACAGATACTTGTTGGCCAGTCTCACTAAAACGCTGGGGGAACTGGACCGGCCCCAGGAGACAGGAGTCCTTGCCCAGCACCAGCAAACTAATAAAGCAGAAGAGGAACTGATGGGCCAGTCGCTCGGCCCTGAGCCCCACACACCCTGCCAAACACGCTGGGCTGGGCTGGGCCCTGTCCTCTGCTGCCCTCCGGTGCCTCCCGTGGTGGCCAGCGGTTGGTGCCATTCTCCACCACCTGTCGCTAAGCCACCAGCATTTATTTGTGAGATTATGAGGGGTGCCTGGCTGGTTCGGTAGGTTAAGCGTCCGACTCTTGATTTCAGCTCAGGTTGTGATCTCACGTCGTAAGGTCAAGTCCCTCCCCTGCATGGGGTTCCACACGGAGCACGGAGCCTGCCTTGGATTCTTTCTTTCCCTCTCTCTCTGCCCCTCCCCTCTTGCATGCTCTCTCTCTCAAAAGAAATAAATACACATGAAAAAAAAGAGTATCAAACTGTTCATTCAGAATTTCTTTTATTTGCTGCTGTATTTTGACTCTGACATCCTTTTTCTAAAATGTGTCATTCATTTATTCAGAAAGTAGAGATGACTTGTTTGTTTAATGTTTGTTTATTTTTGAGAGAGAGCGTGTGAGCGGGACAGGGAGAGGACAGAGAGAAAGGGAGACGGAGGATCTGAGGTGGGCTGTGCTGACAGCAGAGAGCCCAACGTGGGGCTCGAACTCCCATGCCATGGACCTGAGCCGAAGTCGGACGCTCAACGGACTGAGCCCCCAGGCGCCCTGGACTCTTGCCGACATCCTCACTGGGACAGGTTAACGCCCTCTGCTGCAGGAGCAGTGGGATGTTTGCACCTTCTGCACGTTGCCCTGCGTTCTCTCTTGGAATCGTGCAGCCCTGATCTGTGCTGGGCGAGGAAGGCAGTGGTCGGTTCGGCCGCCGGGCTGGACTGCAGAGGGCCGAGCAGCACACGCCCCACCGCGGCGGGGTCAGAAGGGGCTCGGGCCGTGCGTGTGACCAGGTAAGCGCCCCCACCAGTATGTTTTCTGGAGTAAAGGTCGGAGGAGGGCAGTCTTGCGTAGTTCCTGCTCTCGCACCTTCTGTACTTCTAGCCGTCTAGCCCCTCCCTGCTAGCTCTCCAAGGGTTAGGACTCAAAAAAAATTTTTTTTTTAAGAAAACAAACAAGAAAACCCAATGTGAATTATCCACTAGCTGGTAAGGGTGAAGAGCCCCCTGCTTCCAACTACACATTCTGTGCCTGAGCTGGAGTGCGTGGGAAGAGAGGCCTTAGCCGGACAGCGGAGGTGGGCCCAGCGACCCAAGTGTTCTGGTAACCCCCACAGACCTTCCGGAGGGGCCAGAAAGACACCCTAGTCCACGGGCAGGGGGTCAGGAGCATTGTGAGTAACTGACGCTTGGTGAGCCAGGGGAGAGGGCGCCAGAAGAAACTATTAATTGACTTCATGGTCTAAGCCTCCTGAAGACAGGTTTCCAGTTTCCAGAGACTGACTGTACCCGGGAAATGAGGGAGAGACGCCCCGCTCGCCCTTCTCTGCCTGCACGGCGCCTTGTGCAAGCACTGCCTATACCACGAGGGACTCTGGCTCCCGCTTCTCTCGCCTGTGGCCCCGGTCGCCTGCATAGACATCTTTAACTGTGTACATTTCGACTCCTTACCACATGACTAGAATTGGTTATGAACTTACACATTTTAATATGAGAAAAATAAGTATTTCGCAAGCAATGCTGAGAAGCCAGTATGAGAAAATAAACTTTGTTGGCGGCCAGAGGCAGGACGGGGCTCACTCGGTGACAGTCTCACGCCCTGTCTCACTTTCGTCGCCCAGCTCCTCGGCAGTGGAATCTGTGGCCTGAGGCTTCTCTGTTGCGGCTTCACTGGACTCCCTGGGAAAAGAAGAAGAATGCCAATGCTTTGACTCTTGAAAGGAACAATTCAACCCTTCATAACTTCCTCATTTTAGACAAAATCTTCCCCAATCATGCACCCTGGTTCCGTGTTGAAAATCTCATCCTCATCAGAAGAATCCTTGTGGTGTAGCTTCTGTGCCATGTTTTTCTGGCGTGTGGCATTGAGAGGTCTGTACATGTCCCTGAGCCACAGTGGCCGCCTTATCCAGAAAAAGCCCTCCTAGAAAACGGAAAGGACAGCGTCAGTTCTGTTTCCCCTGCCTCTCCAGCCATGGGGCTTCATCCTCCTCGGCTTTACCTGATTGTCACTTTCTGTGGAGCATCTCCGACCCAGCAGAGATTGGAAGAAGCCCCTTGGAGGAAACACACAGGCAGACTGTTCGTGATTCGTGCCGTCTTCCATGCCTCTCACAACGTGGATCTCCGGTCTTATTAGCAAGCAAAACCAACACAGATCTGGGATCTCAAAAATAATTCTGTATATGCTGGGCTTTTTTTTTTTTTTTTTTGCAAATAGTTTATTGTCAAATTAGTTTCCACATAACAGTGCTCATCCCCACAAGTGTCCTCCTCCATGCCCATCCCCCCTCCCCCCCACATCCATCAGTCCTCAGTTTTTGTCAGCATTCAAGAGTCTCTCCTGGTTTACCTCTCTCCCTTTCCCCCACCATTTCCGCCCTTCCTCTCCCCCTTGTTCCTCCGTCAAGTTCCTCCTAATCCTCCTATACGTGCAAACATATGATATTTGTCCTTCTCTGCCTGACTTATTTCGCTCAGCATAACACCCTCAAGGTCCATCCATGTTGCTACACATGGCCAGATTTCATTCTTTCTCATTGCCATGTAGTATTCCATGGTATAGATAAACCACATCTTGATCCATTCGTCCGTTGATGGACACTTAGCCTCTTTCCATGTTTTAGCTATTGTGGAGAGTGCTGCTATGAACATTGGGGTACATGTGCTCCTATGCATCAGCATTTCTGTATCCCTTGGGTAAATTCCTAGCAGTGCTATTGCTGGGTCATAGGGGAGTTCTATTGTTAGTTTCCTGAGGAACCTCCACACTGTTTTCCAGAGGGGCTGCACCAGTTTACATTCCCACCAACAGTGTAGGAGGGTGCCCGTTTCTCCACATCCTCGTATGCTGGGCTTTCAGAATTTTCCTGTGTCTGTCCATAATGGCCCCACGGTGTCTCTGGGAGACCTTTGTATGTGGCTTGGCATGGAGTGTAAACAGGGTTTCACCCTACTCACCTTCTGGGCCCTTGGCCAAGTGCCCTTGTGCGGTCAACAAACTGGGTGACCACATGGCAGAAGCACCTAACTCTCTCCAGAAGCATTTTACATGGGTCCCCGTCGGACTTAGCCTCACAGGCATCATTTGCTGGGGGGTGGGGAGGTGCCTCCATTTTCCTCACTGCTTTATCTTACAAGTTGAATCGCACCAAGTGAATGCTTGAGTCCAACCAGCAAAGTTATCTAGCTCACTGACTTTCACACGTCAGGCGGATGAGTGAGTCGTGAAACCACCTTAAAACTCATGACTAGCACTAAAACACAAAATATTCTTTTTGAATACAAACAGAATAGGGGGTTCCTGGGTGGCTCAGTCAGATGAGTGGCCAACTCTTGATTTTTCCTCAAGAGATGATCTCACGGATCATGAGATTAAGCCCCGTGTCTGGCTCTGCACTGGCAACTGCGGAGCCTGCTGGGATTCTCTTCCCACCCCACCCCCGCCCCCTCCCCACCAAAATAAATAATAAACTTAAAAAAGACAGCACAGAAAAATCTGGGTGTATAGTAAGTTTGTTTTAGAAACTACTTATGTCTCTACAGTATGTGTGCACTGAGTTGTGACATAAAATGTAGCTCACAGCCCAAGAACACTGTAATCAGAGAAGTGCCCAACTGGAAAGGAACAATCTTCTTTCTGCCCCTCACTAGCAGTATGACCATGGGGCAAGACCTCTTCACTTTCTCCTTCTCCATTTCATTATTATAAAAAGAAGAGATAAATAATCATGCAAGGTCTCTCCCAGTTAAAATTTCATTGGGTCTGGATAAAGGGACCATTCTGGCAGAATGGGGCCTCAAAAACCAGGAGGAGGAGGAGGGAAGTTTTCCTGCCTCTTTATAGGAAGGACTCATGTATTCTACCTTCCATCAGCCTTGAAGACTCGCCCCTTTACCCCACGACTCTTGGCCCTCCCTGTTCCTTCTCCAGAGCCTCCGAGAAGGTCTCTGGCCAGGCCGGATTCCTGCCCACCGCCAGCAGGAATAGGTACGAACAACATTTCCGCCCTCGCCCCCCACCCCATGCTCTTTCTTTAAAGGTCTAGATTCTCTGTGCCAGACCCATTCTAACTCAGGTTTGGCTGGGAAGCTAATTTTGCTGGATCCAGGCAAAGCGTTACGCCAAATATTCTTTCTGCTTTTGGTGATTTCCTGGCTGTAAAACATGAGGATTGAAATAGATGAGTTTGAAAATCTACGTCTAAATTCTACTTTAATGATTGCCAGACTAATATTTACCTTGAGTTTCCTTCTTTACTTTCCTCTACTGCTGCTCTATGAGAATAAATCTGTTTTGGAAGAAAACACGATCACAAGTTACCCACTGCAATGACCACATTCCTTTGCACTTTACGTCTCACCTGCCAAGTGAGATGATAACTTTTTTGAGAACAGGAATTGCTGTTTAATAGAATTTGGACTCTTCCACAGCACCTAACTTGTGGGCAGCTGGAAATACATTTGATTGACCATTTTCGATAACATTCAACAGATGATTCCTAATAAAAATTCTTAGGAGGAGGAAAAGTGTCTACCAGAAACCAAAACCAGAGCACTATTTTAAAGTCCAGGACAAGGGTAGGATGTCTGTTATCACTGCTGCTATTCATCGCTATGGAGGGGGTCCTAACTGATGCACTGGGGAAAAAATGAAGTCTTAGAAAGGAAGAGACACGACATATTGGCATTTGAAATTATGGAAAAACCGAAAGGCCCAAGAGAATCCACTAAAATTTTATTGGAAGTAATATAAGAATTCAATAAGATGGCTAGATACAAAATCAAGAGATCAACATGTAAACCTCAATGGCTTTCCTATGTTCCACAAATACTAAAGAAAAAAACGGAAGAAAGATCCCATTTACAACTATCAGTAAAAAAGGCATAAAGTACCTGGGAATAAACTTAGCAAAGAATGGGTAAGACCTACGAGATGAAAACATTAAAACTCTTCTGAAGGACATTAATTAGAAACAAATACATGCTGCTAAAATACTGTAAAGTTGTCAACACCCCTCAAATTAACCTACAAATTCAATGCAATCCTATTCAGATCTCAAGATAGTCCTTTAAACAAAAACTGGCCAGCTGACATTTGGTAGAGAGAATGCGCAAGCCTGGCTACGAAATGTATGAAAAAGAAGATCACAGAGCAGACATTCAAATGTGTTCTTATAAAGGAACTTAAGTACCTAGTGTAATACGGGTACAGGAAAAGAACACCAGACTGAGAGAATAGAGTCCAGATAAAAATAGTTTTTAGATCAGTGAAGACAGAATGAACCATTCAATAAACGGCTTCAAAGTAACTGGATCTTTAGGTAAGGGGAAAGAGCTAGATCCCCCACCTCGACTGTCCCAAAACACCAACCGGGTTCCGTACACATACGAAAAATAATAATAAATCAGAACGAATATTATAAGAGTACAGACGAAAACTTCAGAGACTACTGTTGTACCATGAGGAGAAAAGGCATTGCTGACAAGACCCACGGCCCGAAGCCATGAGGAGAGGCCGGCAGACACGGCGACGGACGGTCGACAGCCTCCCCTCTGGCGCAGTCCTGCCCCCCCGTCCCCTGTGTTTGTCCTCTTCCTGTTGATTCATAAAACTCTCTTCAGATGCTTTACATTAATCCTTTCACGGGCTTTCACTGAATTTCAGTGTTTCGAGTATTTGCTAGTGTTTTCATCGTGAAGGAGACAGAACAGTGGGAGAGGAGCACGGGCTGACTGCAGGCACAACTGGGGCCAGCTTTGCGTTTTGCCACAGGCGCCGTAAGCTGATCCCCTTCTATGTATGGACGAAGGATGGTAATGCTGTCCTCACAGAACTGTGGGGGGCAGATCAGCGGTGGAAAATTCTTTTCCCTATGCTTGGCATAAACCAGTCGAGATGACCAAATGTATCAAAGGTTTCTGCCTATGGTATCAGGTCCCAAAGATTTTTCTCACCACAAGATTATAAGAATATGGCTTCTGTTTTCTTCTAATACTTTTATGAGTTCTTCTTTCTCTTTTTTTACATTTACTGAAATACGTTTTTTTTAAGGTGAGAAATAGGGATCTGCAGTTATTTTCCTCCCAAATAACTAACTACACAGCTGTTCTATTGCCATTTATTTTCTTTCTTCCACTGATTTGAATACTAAAAGGTAACATTTCAATGTCTGTTTATTTTTGACAGCAACAAAGACAGAGTGAGAGCAAGAGCAGAGAGAGGGAGCCACAGAATCCAAATCAGGCTCCAGGCTCTGAGCTGTCAGCAGAGAGCCCGACGTGGGGCTCAAACAAACGAACCCTGAGATTATGACCTGAGCTGAAGTCGGACATTTAACTGACTGAGCCACCCAGGAGCCTCTAAAAGGTAACATTTCAAAAGTCCTAGTGACCCATGGGTCTGTCTATTGCCGGACTCTGTATGCTACCTCACATAAATATCAGGCGGCATTAGTTCTCCTTGTGAAATCGACATAAGGCCTTATCTCTCTTCCTTTGAGCACCACTACCATCTACTACAGGAAATACACTGCATGGTCTCTGTCCTCAAAAAGTTTGTCATCTAAGTAGGGAGAAGAAATAATGAAACCACACAAAGACTACAAATGCAAGGTTAAACTACATAGGAATTTAAAACAGCAATCGGAGTTTATAGAACTTCCCCCAAAGCACAAGGCCACAGGCCACCTCAAGAGGCATAGCACTGACTGGACAATGGCCAATAATCTCTCTTTCCAGGGGCCGTAGTAGGTAAGTTGAACCCAGGCTAGTTCCTAGGCTCAGAAGTCAGACTCTGTCCTTGACAAGAGAGAACACACTTCTTCCTATATGGAAACGATCTCACCTTATCAGTGTCACGGGACTGACAAAGTGGCAGATCGCTGTCTCAGCCAAGGTTATGTGGCTAAGACCCAGACTAGGAGCTGCTGGTCTTTGTGTGTGAGTCTGCGTCTGAAACCGACTAAAAGCCCAGATCCCACGTTTTGGGACGTTATCCTCACCTCCCTCGAATCTGCCCCTTTCTGTTCACCCTGGGCTTCACTGCTCTCATTGATGTCATTCTCATTTTTCCATTGGTCCATATCCCACTCTGCCTTGGACACCTTCATCTCTTGCTGCTCGCTGAGAAGCTTCATCAGGAAGCCTGTCCTGGAGATGAGCTTGGCACAGGCCAGCTGCACGTGGGTCTCAGAGCAGTCCATTTTCAAAGTCCAGATAACGTGAGAAATGAGCCTTCTCACATCATTGTGGGGGATGAGGGGCCGTAGCCGCTGGTTTAACTGCATCTCATATAGATCACCTGGGGATGAGGGGTTGGACACAGTGAAGCCTGTGGCCTCTGAGGGCAAGTCAGTGCCCACACTGTAGTATTCCCATTGCGAATTGTTGGCTTGTTTAGCGGCGGCACGGAGCTGTCTGCAGTAATGGTAGAATTAGCCGTGGAAAGATTCTTACGGCTTGTGAATTCAGGGAAGGTTTGTTCTGGCCGAGTAGTGTTTCCTGTAGAAATATTTTCTTCCAAGATATTTTGTGCATTAGAGTTCTCTACGGTAGTGTTTTCTCTCTTAGGTTTTGAAAGAGTAAATCATTCTGGAAAAGGATTTTCCTGAGGACCCAGTTCTCCGGGAGATGAAAAATCCTCCCGTGAAGGGGAATTTATGAGGCTCCTGACTGCAGAGAACAGAGGCCTCTTTGCGAGCATCAGTCTATTACGGAGTGAACTTTCCCTTCTCGACTTGTGCTTCAGTTTGGCCTTGGGTGTTCTGTGAACCACACGCGAGTGAGTTTTATGGAAGAGGTATTTTTTTCTGGAATGTGGGGCTCGTCTGAAAGCCTCCATGTTTCTAACTCTAGCATTTGCGTCTTCTAAAACAGAAATGGGGTATGTCAAGTCTTTTGATTTGTTTTTCACCTCAGCTGGGGATTTGGGAGCGGTGGAGGCAGCAGGCCTGCCCAGAGAGAATTGTTTCAGGAAAGAAGAGACCGCTGCCTTGTGTTCCTGTATGAATGAGGGCTCTGTTTTGAAGGAGCTTCCCACCAATTTCCGGGGCCTCTGTGCCACGTGAAGCTGTTCCACCCCTCCTGCGGACGGTCTCTCGAGCCGTCTTTCTTCGGCCACATTCTCCACAAATGGCTGGGTATTCTGTTTCCTCTGGGTATTCTGACGTCTCATTTCTTTAAGGCGCCTTTTCTGGATGCCCTTCAGGCCTTTGATGAACTTGTTCACTCTCAGCATTTTTTTCCCGACATTCTCAACCTTGTCTAGGCTCTTTTCCTGTCCTTGAGCAGTTTCCAATTTCTTTGGAAAGATTTGACGTTTCAACTTGGGACCTAAAAGGCTGGAAGGTATAAGCATGGCAGTTTTTTCTTTCTCTTTCACCTCATCAACTTTTTCCTGAATTTCTGCATCTAACAAGTTTTCCAGAAAATAGAGTTTCCTCAGTTTATTCTTATAAGTCGAATTGTTGGATCCAGGCTTAAGAGAAGGTTCCTGTGTGTTGTTTGTCAAGTGACCCAGGGGACTGTCTCCCTCTTGCACACTTGAAAACAGAAGGTTAATGAATGGTAATCACGTCGATTCTACATCTTCTAGATGTCCCTCCGAGAAGTAAGGCAGTATGGAATTCAGTGCGCTAATGACATCACTTTCATCATTAAAGTGTAGCTGCTCATTCATAAAGGCTGACAAACTGAAGCCACTTTTGTCTGAGGACGGCTTTTCTACCTCAATAGTCAGTTCAGTGCTGGTGCTCTTCTTCCCAGCTTTCAATACCTTCATGAAGGATCCTTCCGCACTCCTTATATATACTTTCACATCTGTCAGAAAAGAAGGGACGAGTTTTGATAACGAACTACAAAAAGCACAGCTTTTTGTCAATGCACAGGCATACATCCTAGTCAAATAAATTAAGAATCAGCAAATACTTGAATGCCATTTAGAGAGGGGACAAACTCAAATTTGAACCTACAATTGGCAATGACAAAAGGAGAAAAAGATGTTTTTTGAAACAGTGGCTATTTCCTCAGAACATTCCGTAGTGTGAATAGCTATATTTAGAATGATTCCATTGGTCCCTAAGGGCTGACTGCCCAGGACTCAAGAAAAGCCAAGGCTGGAAGACACTCAGCTGAACTGTGTGCAGATCTGCTGTGACCCCTGGCATGCACATACCCCACCCTGTGCTGCTTCAGAGGCAGAGGGAGCATGAGTCTTCCTCCTTCTACCTCTTCAGTGGGCTTGTGTTCTCGCTACCATCACAGGCACATGACAACACCCACCTGAACATGCCCTCTCCACCTACCCACCAATTCCTTTGTTTGGTCCCTGCTCCCATGTATCACACCTCCCATAACATAAGCGCAGACACAAAACAAAAACAAAAACAAAACCCATTAATTCCACCCTGGTTCCTTGCTTAAATTTGGGCAGGGATCTAGGGGATAGGTTAAGATGTTTTCCAGGAACGAGAGATATGCCAATGTGGAATGTTCAATAAATCAATGGAATAATACTTGAGGTTTTAAAACGCAGAAGGGATAAAGAACCTTTTGTCAAATGCCTACTTTGCTTTCATTTCCTTTCAATTCTAGCGTATTTCTAGCTTTACGTAGAGAACCATCCAGAACTTCCAACTACATGAAGGGCAAGTGTACAGCTTGTATACACTGAATGGCACTGTGCAGCTAGGTTTCTTTTCCAGAAGAATTAGAAGTATTTTGAGTGGTGCTGGTGAGAGTCAGAGGAGGAGGTTATAAGGGTCACGAGAGAAGAGGAGCAACGGGCTTGCCGGGAGCCCGAAACGGGATAGGAGACTTGAGTGCTGGGCTGTGGCACCTAACACCCCTGATCTCATTCTTCCTCACCTGTAAAAGGAGATTAAAAATGCCTATTCTGCCCACCTCTGAGGGAGAAGGGACTAATATAATTGGTAAAACATTGTTTTGGAAAATAAGCAGCCATGTATTTATAGAAGGAGAAAAGTGTCATTTGTGCTGTGCCCCAGACCATTGACAGGGACCCAGATTCAAGCTACCTGGGGCAAAAGCACATTTTGGAAGTCATCAAGGTAGTGCTGATAAAGCCTAATATACAGAAAACCACCTAAAACACCTGTGTTTTGGATAGAAAAGCTCAAGGCTCAGAACAAGAGCTGGATGGCCCAAGAACAGAAGAGCCTCTCACCCAGGAGAAGGGCTGGGTAGCAGCTGGTTGGGGAACAGAAACACTGAAGCTCTGAAAAAAACGTTTTCCGAAACCGGAACCACTTATCCTCTTACACACTTGCAAAAACAAAATAAAGAAGGACCTCCACCTATCATATAAGACGAAGGGCACCT